TACTTATTAGTACTTTTTGAATTTCTAGCATAATTATTTGCAATGTTAATTCCTTTTCTTCTTCATGTTGCGCCATTTTTCCAAATTGTAAGCACTGCCACTAAAGCATCCAAGGTATATTGCTAGATTTCAAACAAATTCACTGTAATCTTTCAAATCAAGGCTTTCTCTTCACTCCAATCCAACTATATATAGTACTCCAAAGGAGCACCTGTATAAACAAATCATGCTCTTCCCACTGTCCCTTTCAATAAACAAAATAAAGGATTTTGAGATATCAAATGTTCAAAGAAAGTAGTGTTTCCAAGCCTCCAGCCTCTAGGTGGCAGTGTTACTTCTTTCCCCTCTGCATTTACCCCTCTCTTTGTTCTGGACTTGAGAAAAAAATGTTAAAAGGTAAAATCCAACTGAGCATTGAAAAGGAAGAGATTCTTTATCCACAGATACAAAAGTGAGGAAAAATAGAAGAAGGAAAAAAGAGACCAGTCCAATTTAAAAAGTAAGAGGCATTTGTAAGAATTCCATCCATTAAAAAAAATGAAGTTAAAGAAAGATAGATAACACACTAATTTTAATACAGGCTTAATCCACCGTTTACTCTCTTCTGTCTTCAATTTTAATTTTACTCTAAATCTTTTTGGGTGTTCTCTTCTCTAATAGTAAAATTTTTCTCACCATTTCGACACACTCTCCCTCCTGCTTTCTTTCTGTTCGGGGCTGTCCCAACCTTGTGCAGCCATAATGGCTGCTTCTCTTGTAGTCAGAAAAAAGAACTTCTCCTGTGTCGATCAGGGGCTTTGCGATGCCCCTAAGATTAGCAGTACTTGTCTTTCTCTATCCCCATCTCTACAGGGCGGTTTAGGTCCAAAAGGACCATCCAGCAGCAGAGATATCGACAGCAGTCCTGGAGCTCCAAGATTGCATGTCGTGTTGTAGTGACGTCAAGCCCCACCTCAATTGAAGAAGCCACAATATAAGGGAAACAAAACTGACCCTATTACACTTAGCTTTCTCTGTTTCTCGTTTTCTCTCTCTTGTTTCCTACCTGTCAAATTAGAAAATATATAAAGTTCTTGGAATTATTTTTTTTTTAAAAGAAAAACAAAGCAACTTGTGCTTTTCAAAATATCTACAAGTAAAGAAAATTTTTGTATGCTCATAGTTTAATTTCTTTATGCTTTGGAGTCTGGCTTTTATTTTAGATGTTTAATTCACATCCTTTATTCAACGTGATTTTTTTGTGTGCTGATGTTGTTCTTCTTTGGGTCCTTTGTACCATATGATTTAAATCAAGAATCATTTCAGGTTTCCAGATAAATGAAGCTCTTTCATCCCCCTCCTCTAGCTTCCTAACGACTGAACACACCACTGGCTGGCCTTGCCCTACCTCCCAGTCACTCCTTACCTAAGAAGGTAAGAGTGATGGCAACAGATGGAGACTTGCTGCATATTCCAGAGCAGGAGAGAAGCTCCCCTGTACTTGCCTCTTCTTCCTTGTACAGTACAGTAACCACAATTGGGATTGGCAATTCCATCAGTAGTAATATAGTGCCTAAGCAAAACATCACATGATTCCAATGGACTTATAATGTCACTTCTCATTTGGTCATTAGGCGAGCTAACATGGATCATTAAGCAAAACATCACATGACCATAAATTTTCTGCCAGCTTCTCCATAAATTCTGCTTGTTCAAAATTGGTTGTGAAGTGTGAAAATGATGGTTGGATGACCACAAGATACTGTAAGAGCCTAAATAACTTACATTATGTAGCAGTATTCTGAAATGCCATGACTTGATTTACACGAAATACTCATTTTTCCCATGAAGTTAACAAGCTGTGATCAACCTTCTTCATTGTCTTCTTTTTTTAACAACTCAGAGGCAGTAAGTAAATCTGCTTTCACTGTTAAATTAACTTCTTCTTGTGATGGTACTTAAGTTATATATAACTATTCTAAAGTTCTCAAATCATAGATTCCTCACCTCTGGACATATTGGTAAACCAAGTAGCCAATCATAATGGTTGGTAATGCTTGTAGCTTATAAAGATTAAGTCATGTCAATCATTCTTTTCTCTTTCCTTAGACAGCAGCACATCATTTAGAGATTGATTACTTATAGGTGTTGGTGTTGTATTTCAAGTCTTGGTAGCACCCAGCACCAATTCAAAACATTTTTTGAAATGCACATTACTTACATAGCTATAGGCTATTGTAGAAATGACAAAATAAAAAAGATCTTTAAAGAAATCTCAGATAATATTGCACTCAAAGGTCAATACATACGTATGTGGTAGAATGTGTTCCATTTCATCTGTCTTGGCCAAAAAGTTGATTGACAGCTGAAGTTGCCGATGGTTATTCCTCCATTAAATCCTTGTCACTTTATCTATAGTTGTCAGTGTTGTGTCCTTGGCATTGGGAGTTAGGAGCAAGTAACATACAGCAGATCAACAAGCAAACAGTTCTTAAAGTACCTTTGCTATTACAGAAATACTGTTTTAAAATCATAGGTTAATTTCAATGCCCTTTTAATGTATTTTTAATACTTGTTATAATTTTATTGGTGCAACATTATGTAAAAACAATTTACAATTATACTGGTGCTTTTCATATATCTTGGACAGAAACGTGCTTCCTATTATGAAAATAATGGGAGTTGGAGTTAGCAACTTAAATTTAATAACTTAATAACTTTATATATATATAATTTTAATAACTTAAATTCAATAAACAGTAAATGTCATCAGCTTAGGTAAGATGACTTGACAGTCCAACCAGAATACAAGTATGAAGACTTAATTATTAGTTTGATATTTTAACTGTACCTCTGATCTTTCTTTTTTTTTTGGATTGATGTTATAATTTTTAAAATTAAAAATTGGAAATTTAATTAAAAGGTTCAATAATGTCTACTCTTGAAAAATTCCTTTCTTTTAAAACTTATGTTCAGAACTTTTCTTACGTTGAATCTAGATCATGTATCTAGATACATTTTACCTTTGAAATATTATATTATATTTAATCAAGCAAATAATTGGCAATCTTTAGACCAATACATTCATTATGCACAGCTTAATGGGTGCAAATAGTGTCTGTTAACCCCAAAAATCTTGCAATAGCCAAAGTCTGCTGAATGTGGTACTTCAGATTTAATGTGCAAATTAGAAAACATTGATTTGTTTTATTTTAGAGCTTGGATGAATATGATGATGATGAAGCAGGTGATAAAGAACGTAAAAGAGAAGATACAATTACACAGCAAAATACAATACAAAATGAATCCACTGTTTCCGATCCAAATGCTTCATATATATTGCAGGTGAGATATTATAATGCATATCTACAAATAACTTTAATTTTTGTTTTGACAGATTTTAGTGCCACTGTTACATTGGTCAGGCATTATTATAAATAGAGGTGGAAATAATGCACAAACACATAGACTTGTAACTACTTAGAGCCAAGGTGGCGCATTGGTTAAATGCAGCACTGCAAGCTACTTCAGCTGACTCAGGTTGGCTGTTCAAATCTCACCGGCTCAGGGTTGACTCAGCCTTCCATCCTTCCGAGGTGGGTAAAATGATGACCCGGATTGTTGTTGGGGGCAATATGCTGACTCTGTAAACCGCTTAGACAGGGCTGAAAGGCCTATGAAGTGGTATATAAATCTAACTGCTATTGCTAACTGCTACTTTCTGATAGAATAAAAAAAATTAAATGTTATTGTGGTCTTAGATCAGGATTTAACTATTACATTTATTAGTGCAATCGGTAAATATTCTGATCATGTTAATTAAATTCAAAGCAACAAGAATTAACAGAATTCATATGAATACAGTGTTAACTGTTATAACCCAGAACAGTCGCCTTACTAGACCCCTCCCTATTGCTAGCATAGACTACCATCATATTTTTCAGGTGGGCAAAATATAAGCCCCTCTCCTGAAAATAAGCCCCCTGGACAACCCTCTCTCCAGCCAGGCAGAGTGCCACTCACCAACCTAGCAGTATCCCAAAGGCGCCAAGCCTCAGGAGCTGGGGGGAGGCAAAGGCCCTCACGTTGCTTGGCGCTTTCAGGATACTGCTAGGTTGGTGAGTGGCGCTGTGCCCAGACTGGAGAAGGGGGTTGCTAGGCGGCTGCTCTCTTACGAGTAGGCTCCCGAAGAGCCAGGCATAGCCTCAGGGGCAAATGGCTGTGTTGTGCTGTCGCAGCAGTGCAACACAGCAGCCATGAGGTGACCATGCACATGAGCAGCCACCTGACAACCCCCCTCTCCAGCTGGGCAGAGCGCCAGGCACTGACCTAGGGATTTCCCCAAGGTGTCAAGACACATGGCGCTCTGCCCACCCCCAGCTCCCATGGCTTAGCACATTCTGGATACACCCTAGGTCAGTGCATGGCATTCTGCCTGGCTGGAGAGGGGGGTTGTGCAAGTGCCTGCTACGCCTCCAGCTCGCATGCGTCCCGGCCTCACCATGCCCTGGCCCAGCTCTCCCTGCAGGGCCAAACCACCACCGTTGCCACTGCCACGCTCCGAGCATAACTTCTTCTCCAGTTCCCAAACTCTTGAGATTGGCTGCCGAGTCTTCTGGCAGCAGCTGCTGTGGGAGTGCACTCTATGGTTGTGGGCCGACTGCTGGAAGAGTCTGGTGGGACAGAGAGTCAAGACAATAAGACTCTGTCTTATTTGACTCTGACACGGTATTTTGTACTTCAATTTGTAATCTCAGAATTTCTATCTGTGAATATTCATCAAGGTAGGACCTCAATTGAGCCCAAATTTCTATAGCTAAGTGAGAAAGCTGTTGAGTGAGTCTTGGCCCATTTTGCGGCCTTTCTTGCCACAGTTGTTAAATGAATCACTGCAATTGTTAAGTTAGTAGCATGGTTATTACGTGAATCTGGCTTCCCCATTGATCTTGTTTGTCAGAAGGTTGAAAAAGGTGAAAAAGGTGATCCCAGGACACTGCAACTATCACAAATTTGAGTCAACTGCATTTGAATTTTGATCATGTGACCATGACGAAGCTGCAATGGTCATATGTTTGAAAAACAATCATAAGTTCCTTTTTTCAGTGCCATTGTAAATCACTAAATAAATTGTTGTAAGTTGAGGACTATCTGTAAATAGTTTGACCAAGTACATATCCAATGACATTAACTAGTTCTGTTGAAATTAAATAGTCAGCCAAACTAATTTCACTGCTTTCTAGTTAATATTTTTAACTTGTTATGATCTTTAATTTCAACTACATCAAAATATTAAGTGCACAGCAAAATAAAACGTTGTTCATTATTTATTACATTGTTTCTTATAGTAGGGTATATGTGTCTATGTGTGCTCAGAAGCCATTCCATGTTGCTAATAATGAAACTTTCAGTAAAAATATTATACTAGCAACGTAAAAGCCAGAATGAAAATCTCAAGTGACTATTTAATTATGTGGGAATGTTGTGATATTTGATGAGTTCCCATTATAAGCAGAATTGAAAGCTTGCCTGACATTTGTTTTCCAAAATCCTTTGTGGTTTCATGTTAATTTTCAAATATTTCTTCCAAACAAGCTGTAACAAATTGCATAGAATTCTGCTTTATAATATACCAAAGAGGAAAACCTGTTTCTTGCTATTTTTCTCTCTACTTCTGCTTCATTCTGTTATTATAAAAGTCAAAGAACTAAATGGTAGTTGCGGAAATGTGAAGAATATTAGAACACCACTAAAAATGTGTAATGTATGTACAGTATATATGTATGTATATGTAAATGTATATAATTATGCATATTATATGTATATAATTTCAGATTTCATAATACTTGTACTTAGTACAAGTGGAGTGTAGCAAGATCAAATATAGGTTCTAGCAAGAATGTCTATGACTGGCCACATCGGCTTCTTTGCCCATTTTTTCTATTTTTCTTTGCCCATTTTTTCTATTTTTCTTTGCCCATTTTTTCTATTTCCAGAAAGTGTTACCATTTGTAGTAGCTAAAACGGTTTGTAACTATTTGTATCAGGCACAATAGTGATCTCCTCTAATCATTAAAGCTTTGTCCTCTGGTCATGTTGCCAGGGAAATGATGATTGGAGTTGAAATTGAATTATTTGGAAGGCTGCCTATAATCAATATAATATATAATCAATGTCATATCCCTTGTTCTTTTAATTTTTCTTATTTATATTTTTCATTTGGGGGTGTTTTCATGTGCAATTTAAGACAAAGCTTGGATATAAATAAAGAACAATAAGTTATATTTATTCCTTTCTTCATTTATACAATACCATTTCTTATTAACACCATTATTTCAAAGCTGCTGATGATTATGCTCATTGCTCACTATATTTCTTTCACATAAAGTCCTCTGACTATGGATAAATAATTATAGATACAATTCTCAGCAGAATTTTAGAATTTCCATTGGGCTCCACAGTCCAAAATGTACTGGATCCTACTGTAAAAACCTTCATGGTTGTGAAGCAGTTTCTCACTGTAAACTGTTTTTGTTGGATGTTTATATTGACCAAAGAATGGTATTTGGAGACATGTCAGGCACACATCTCTAATTGTTCTGAGTTATAATTATAAATCAGCAATTATAAATATTGGGTACTTAATTATGTTTTTAAAATATATTTTAACAGGATACTTCTAGGACAATTGGAAACAGATACAAAAGGTAAGGAATTGTTTAGTAGATTATTAATCAGTGAAGTATAATTACAATTCTATAGAAAGCAAACATTCAAATTTGGTCCTAAAGCTCTTTGTTTACTAATAGATGTCTTTTGAACTCTATAAAACCTGGAATTACAAGTTAAGACTATTTCTTAACTAGTTTGGTATACCTCATAGTGAGACCTCAGAATAGACTTAGAGGAAGCTATAGCTTACTAGGCTAGCCTTTTGGACTGGAAGAAAGAAGTGGAAAATAAATTTTAACATTAAAAAAATTAATTGAAAAGATGGGAGATTAAATAAACTTTTCAAGAAAATAATGTACGTTCTGTAGGATAATAGATGTAAATACCTAAGAACCAATATATTACACAGCTTTCCCTAGATATATAGGTGCATTCCAGTCGTATCCACTTCGGGACACATAGGGTCACTGTATCTCTTGAGAAAACTATATGCAGGTCAAGAAGCAACAGTGAGAACAGTCAGTTCAAAAAAACATGGACTATGGTTTCTAAAACACCTGTGTCAGAGGGATAGTGTTGAGTTTCATAAGAGGTTATCTTATTTATTAAGCACTTATGTATTTTAAAGAAGAAAAATATAAATAATATTTTTTAAAAGGGGGTTATCCTATATTTTCCTTCCAAAATGGGGAAAGCATCACACTAAGTTAGAGATAAATTTACCTTGAATTTTGAAGCAGTGGTTTAATATAAGAAGCTGGTATGGAATTAAAATCTAGTTTATTTTGAAATGTATTGTGAGAGAAAGCAACAATTACTGTTTGGCCTTTAATGTATGAATCCTCTGCCTTAATATTGATCTATCTTGATCTAGCTCTAAAAGTCAAAATAGCCTCATTGGAAAAGCCACAGTGGCTCAGCTTTTTTTGGATAGCTGTTTCCCAAGACAATTTAAAGTTGTTTGTCAATATTACATAGTCAGTTCACCAGAACTAGGGTATACGTTTTGTCAGTAGAGATATTTATCCAGTGATTGGATTCAGGTTTATTGACTCCTGCTTGACATGTTCTCAGCTCAAAAAGGGATAGAGCTCTCTGCTCCTTTGCTGGCCTTTGGATTTTTGCAGCCCAGATATGATAGCAGTAATTACATAGTACAAATGATAGCACACTTAAGCTGGCTGCTGCACTCACCTGCAGTTTGCTTCTGATTGCCATATGCTGCTGTCCTCACCATTCATGCCAGAGATTGTGACAACGAGGTGGGGAGGGGGAATCATTTTTTTACATTATGCTAGCACTAGCAGTGGTGTAATTTTTACACTGCCAACTTTACCTCTTTTGTTATAACTATCACAAAACATGGATAGTTTTGATTACAAATTCTACCCGGATGTCTTATCATTTTTTTTTAGATTTTTATCCAAGGATTCCCAGATAGCTGAACATTATTTCAAGCTAAAGGGTCATGAAGACTGTCGTAACATGTTCCACAGAGTCTATTTTATAATGAAAAAAAATCAACTAAACCTTATATCTGAAGTAATAAAGTGAATTGTTTTGTGAATATAGCAAGCCATGAGTTGATAAACAAGATTCTTTCAAAGTAGCTTTATGAAACTTGGAACTCTTTAAGATGGATGACAACTTTTACTGCCCTCAGCCAATAATAGCACCTTGGCTAGAAATAAAGAAAACTGGAGTCAATATATGTATAAAGATGAATGTTTGGGGAAAGCTGTTTTTAAAGCATGATGACAGAACTGTAAGGAATTTTGCAGCTTAATACTATTACCATATTTGGCATTCCTTGTTCTGGACTTTATTATCTACAAACAGGAAGTGTCTGTTGCAACTCTAAACAAAAAGTTTGTAATTCAACTTTTGAAAGTTTACTGAATTCATACTGTGTTTCCCCCCAAATAAGAGTCTTATTTTCTTTTGACCCCCGAAATAAGCATTTGGCCTTATTTTGGGGGAGGTCTTATTGTTTTTGAGGTGCAGGAGGTGGCGAGTGTGGTCACCTTATGGCTGCTGCTGTGTTACAATATTTTCAGGGAGGGCTTATTTTAGTGCATGGGCTTAAAAGCCCAATTGGGCTTATTATCCAGGGAGGTCTTATTTGGGGGGAAATGGTACTTCTGTTCAGTTGTTATATGCACTTCACATGACTGAAGTTTCCCTGTAAAAAGTGTCTTTTGCAGTTCTCCCCACAAGCAATCACATTTTTGCAATAGACTTAACATTCTTCAATTACTTCTATTGACTTGCATTTTGCATAAAAGCTAAAGGGGCAATAAGCACCTGAATCATCTAGCAAAATTAATGTTTTTGTAAGTGGATATTCACTGTTAAAGACAGGATTCTTGTATTTTATGTGGGTTCATAATTAGCAAATTATAAGGATAACATCTATTTGAATAAGTTTTTTTTATCGGGCCAGGAAAAGGAAAGCATATTCAAAATATGCAAGGATATGCTAGACTTTCCTATTTATAAGTTTCTTTAAAAAAAAATATAAATAAGAAAAGTGCAATCCTTGGACTAAAAATGGGTCTTTGAAAAACAGAACTGGTAACTGTGGCAGATTGAAGTGCCAGCTCTTCTGTTATTCCTCTCTAGACGAGGAGAGGACTTGGGATCACCCACCAGTGTTCCAGATAGCTGTTCTTGTGAAGAGACTGCAAGACAGTAGTCTCAAAAAAGTTTAGAGATGAGGGAATAATCATCTTTCTGAAACCGTAATCAACTCCTCTGAAAGGATACTAGATTTACATTTCTAACATAATTAGATTTACATAATTCCATTTCTAACTACCGTGTTTCCCCAGAAATAAGACAGGGTCTTATTTTCTTTTGACCCCCCAAATAAGCCTTACTTTTGAGGAGGTCTTATTATTTTTGGGGTGAAGGAGGTGGCGAGTGTGGTTATCTCATGGCTGCTGCTATCTTTCAATATTTTTGGGAGGGTTTATTTGGGGAGGAGGGCTTATTTTAGCACATGCGCTCAAAAGCCCGATTGGGCTTATTATCCGGGGAGGGCTTATTTTCAGGGAAACAGGGTACTTTCAGAAATTGCTTATTAATTGCTTTTCAACTATTGGAAATTTTTATACTATATTGAGAGATCTGACAGCACTAGATAATTATCCCTTCAATCCTTAGCAAAAGAAACTTTTAACTATAAGTTAATTATTTATTTGAATAAACAGCAAAAAGATGATTAAAACTTTGATTTTAGAAGTTTATATATGGACTAAGGTTCCAGATAAATTTCAAATGAGATTTTAGAATTGATTATAAAGACTCCTTCCCATGGGAAAATGCTTTTGTTTTGAATTTAAAAAATCACTAAAGGGTAAGATTGTAAAAAATGAACACTAGAGGGAACTAAAGATTACAAGTAAAGGAGAAAAACACTCAAATTGAACTTACAATTATGAAATGAAGCAAAGTATTTTAACATTGGGCATACTGAAGGTCATTTTTGAACTATGGATCCAGAAGTTAATTTTAATAATACCTGCCTCTAGCTGATGTCTTAATAAATAAAAATGATATGACACAACAAGAGACAATGACCTGGGTCATTTACCCAATATTGGGTTTAGAAAAAAGTCTTCTTAAAAGTTTGAAAAATTTTGTGAAAAAGGGACAAAGGAAAAAAAATGAAAAAAACTTAAGTTCTATGATATTATTTGAAGGGACTAAAGTTTAAGATTGTTAGAAATAAAAGGAATGTAAGGTTGGTGTACTTATCAAAGTTAAAATTAACTATGGTAACCCTTAATTAACTTTTCCTGACATCAGAACTAAAATAACGCTTTATTAATTTGTTTACAGATAAGAGAGAGAATATGGGAAGAAGATATCATTTGTTGTATTTTAAGAGAAAATTATAAATTACTAAAATTGTTTATAGTTGTGATGAATGTAGGAAAACACTTCTTTATCATTTTTTACTACATTCTTTTTCCCCCCTTTTCTCTATACCTTCTATTCTTTTCATTCTAGTTTTTTTCTACTTGTATTCATTTTCACTGTTGTAATTAGATTATTTAATAAAATTACTACATAAAAAGGATACCATAGGCAATTGTATATCAAAAGTCATTACTGATACCAGGAAGATCATACTTTCCCTATTTATATCATGATGCAAGTCATTCAGTAGAGTGATCAGTGCAATCTCACAAAATCAGGCCTTAACCCTGACAGAAAAGGGCCCAGATAATCCAGTTTTACAGTGCTGTGAAGTTGATCCATGCATAATCTACAACTGAGGTTCCTTAAAACCTCTATCCATGGGCAATGAGATGATCCGCTTCAGAGTATGCCACAGGATGTTGAACTTTCTAGAGCTAAAAGGAGAATGTTGGATTTTCTGAGAATAATTAAAGTGGAATGAAAAAAGGAAGACTTATCTTCTGTCATGTTGATGTAGTAAAACCATATATTTAAAACTTTGAAAGTTATGCTTCTCTTAGGAAGGGTAGTACTATCACTGTACAATGGCTAAACTTTTCTTTTGCCCTTCCAAATCTTTTGCTTAGAATGGTTATTTTCATTGCATTGTTTCTTGGGCATTAGATACCCAAAAAATAGTAGAAGAGGAAGATAAAAGAGTCAGGCTTTATTGCCATCATTTTTTTCTCTTTATGTTTGAAAAAATAAAGTTCACGCTGTATTATGTAACATATTATGCTAATATGCTCTCTTTTGGCTGTCTTTTTGAGATTGTACCCAAGAAACATCTGCTCCCATAGAAACAACATTGTTTTAATCACATTTATTATTAATTACTTTATAATAAAAATTGGAATGTTTAGCTCCTTAAAAACTACTAAATATAATTACTGAAAATATAGTATCAATAAAAGCAGACTTTGTTCCTATGTTGATGAGGCTTACAATTTCGATAGAGTGACTGTTGGGTGAGAAGGTACAAATGAGTATCACTAACTAGGGAACAATAGATTAAGGTTGGCTTAGTTGAATTGTTGTTGTTAGTTGTGAAGTCATGTCCAACCCATTGCAACCCCATGGACAATGTTCCTCCAGGCCTTCCTGTCCTCTACCATCCTCTGGAGTCCATCTTAAGTTCATGCCACTCCATCCAGCCATCTCATTGTTTGTCATCCCCTTCTTTTGCCTTCAATCTTTCCCAGCATTCGGCTCTTCTCCAGTGAGTCCTTCCTTCTCATTTGGTGGCCAAAGTATTTGAGTTTCATCTTCAGGATCTGGGCTTCTAAAGAGCAGTCAGGTTTGATCTCCTTTAGGACTAACTGATTTGATCGCCTTGCAGTCCAAGGGACTCGCAGGAGACTTCTCCAGCACCATAGTTCAAAGGCTTCAATTCTTTGGCGCTCAGCCTTTCTTATGGTCCAATTTTCACAGCCATACATTACAACTGGAAAAACCATAGCCTTGACTATATGCACTTTTGTTGGCAGGGTGATGTTTCTGCTTTTTAGTATGCTGTCTAGATTTGCCATTGTTTTGCTCTCCAGGGGTAAGCATTTTTATTTTCTTGGTTTAATTTCAGTCCCCATCTGCAGTGATCTTGGAGCCCAGGAAAATAAAATCTGTCACTTACCTCCATTTCTTCCCTCTCTATTTGTCAGGAATTGAGAGGTCTGGATGCTA